TCCTGATCTCAGAAATAAAACCACAGTTGTTTTCCCCGGGAGATGGTGGTGGGGTTAAGTTCTTTAAGGGATAATTCATATTTCATATAAAACAGAGGAAGAAAGGCTTAGCAACTTAACAGCAGCAGAAGTGCAGCTGTGTGCTTGGCCAGTACCTCTGTAATCCACACCTACAGCTTCGTCTAACACATCACTCATTTGTTAAAGTGGACGAAGGAAGGAGAAGTAAGCAGCCTCGCTGATGACAGAGGTAATACAGCATCTGAAAACAGCTCCTTCCTGGAAATTCCAACTCCTGCAGCTCCTTGGGTGTTTATACCAGGAGTGGCTACAAACGCTGCTGTCTGAATTTAGATCCGTCTCTCCTGCTGTTTCATGCAAAGCAAGAATACCCAAGCTTCGATCCAAAGCAAAAAATCTGTCACTTTCCCTGACAGTGATAATGGTGTTCATGAAGAATTTTTAAAGTCATGTACACTTTTTATAGGAATCAGAAGTCAAGCTTCAACACACTCACCATGTTTTAACTTTCATCTGAGTTACCCATTCTCTGATTTAGGAGACACCACCAGGTGACTGCACCACCATTTCCTCATACATATTGCTCTCACAAGCTGTATTCATTCCAAGGACACCTTGTTCACTACAGCACCTTTGCCCTTCCTGCTCATTTCTCTTCCAGCACGAAGAACTCCCATTAACCCTGATGAAAGTCAGCATATGTGCACACAGGACATAGACCTTTTAAGGCTATATGGCTGACCAACAGAAACAGAAAAATACATACATGTAACTGAAACTTTCTTCCATTTAGCAAAGGGTACCGAGTTTTAATTGAGACTCCTCAACCCATTACCCTCGCTTTCTTATATCCACCTTCTCGCCCTACCCCCTTAATTTACGGGGAAGACTCACTGTGCTTCCCTAAGCAGAACAAGAAATAGATCACATCAAGTTTGCTCCACAGACCAAAAGGTAAAAAATAAAGGACAAACTGGTTCACAGTTAACTATAAATAAAAGTGCAATAAGTGTTCAAGTACAGTGTAGAGTTTAAGCAAGCTGTACAACCACGTTTGGCATAGTCATCTTTTAAAGGCTCTGCGTGGGTCCCTCCCATTACTGACAGCAGGGAGAGGAGGCTGAACGCTATTAGCTGGTGCTGGATTTACAGGTCCTCGTCCACTGCCTCTCCCACTACCCACGTAAGTGTGGCCATGATTATACGTAAATGGAAATCCACTCGATTCTGGTCCAGTTTGTAAACCATTTCCTAAAAAGACAGGAAAAAAGGTTATCACAAGTTCCATGGACTGAAATCACTGCTCCCTTGTATATACAAGTTTCGCAACGGAGAACGCATGGTGTTTGCGGCAACCACCAAACCCTGAGCACCAGAAGGAAAAGCCCTTCTGGCATGGCCCAAAACCACAGCTTACTTTTTTTCCCCCTCCCAAACTGCCTCCCCTCCATCCCTACCCCCAACTCTCAACAAAAGCAAGAAGGCTCGCAGAGTTGCAAGCCGATTCTTTGCCCGGAAGAGAGACTGGAGTCTCATGGGAACTAGACTGGTGTGTTCAGAAACGCGCACTGGCCTGTAGGTCACACCCCAAGATGTTCTAGAGGGACAGCAGGGCAGCAAAAGTCAAGGAGAAAGCAGCAAAAGTAAAAGCAGGCTACGCCAAGCCCCTTGCGTCATACCCCACTGCCAGGCACACACAAACAGAAAGCTGCCCTGGAAGTCCAACCACAGAAATAACTCAGCTGGCACCAAGTTCTCATGAACTTGAGCCTCAAAGTATCACTGCTCATGTTTTTCTGGTACGAAGAGGGACAAAGCTGAAAAGGCAGAATGATGACAGGAAGCATGGGGAGAGAAGGAAGAGACAAAACCGAATCATTGCACTTAACCCACAGAAAAGCAGGAAAAGAGTTTCCGAGAAGACACGCACATGCTCAGTCAGAGCAGCTGCCTGCTGGCCAAAGCAGGGACACAAAGGAAGTACCTACACACTACCACTTCTGTTTTGGGGACCTAACCTGGCAGGAAAGCCAAGGTGACTGGCAAGATTAAAGTAAGTAATTTTTAAAGCGAAGGTCTCAGGTGGTTCAAAAAACAGGATTTCAGGTGCTGCAAAAACTCTCTGAAAGCACCTAAACAATTTATGATAAATCAAGTCTTTTTAACATGATACAGGCACCTTCAATATTCTCCTCTCTTCCTCTTCTAGGGAAGAAATCCTGAAACCAGTATTCAGGAAACATTCATGCTTATGTGCCTGCAGGTTCAGGCCTCAGCCTAAAAGACTTGTTAGAGCATATTACACTTTTGTCCCAGAGTGGAGAACCCTTGGCAAGATAAATCTCTTTATTCCCATTAACTTGCTCTCATCCTTTCACTTTCACAAAATGAAAAAACTTACCCAGTGGCCCGAAAGTACAAGAACCCATATTACTTGATGCAGAACTATTATTCTGTTCACCCTGTGCCTTCAGAGAAATGTAAAAAAAAAAAAAAGACATGGATCAGAAAGAAATTTCACATTTTTACAGAAAAGGGCTAATTTTTTCATGTGTTCTTATAGTGGCTTCACATGGAATTTATCTGCTACTCAAATTGTTGGCTCATTTTTGTCTATGTATCACTTCAAGTCCATTTTTCCCCAAAGAGCCACATCTGATCACAGCCTAGTGTGAAGTACTCACAACAAAGAGCACTTCATGCCGGGAGCCTCAGACAAGTTTAACATACCAGTTTGTTCTGCCCGACGTGTTCCGAGTTGGGCTCACTGAAGTTTGGCACTTCTGAGTACACCATGCAGAATCTGGGGAGAAATTAGGATTAAGTGGAAGTTCTAAACCCATTTTTTTAACAGTTCTTAACTGCACAACTCAAATAGCATATGCTCTTGACATATCCCATCACCCAGAAGCAACTAATCCAGACGCCCACCGTTCAGAGAGTATCCATAGGTATCAAAAGGCTCTTTGATCCCTTTATAGGCTTGTGGCAAAGCTGTCACATCTTCCTGGTGCATGTGTTTCAGTCAAGCAGAGGCAAGCAAAACAGCCTTAACAAAAGGTGATGAAAGGCTCCCTTTGCCGGTCTTCCAGCTGCACAACCTTGTCCAGCACCCACTCACAAGGTCACCTGAGGCACTGTCACCCACACTGGGGCTGCATTAGATCTCCAGGGAATACTTAAACATTCCCATGCTATGGAGTGCCCCATTAACTTGATAGCACAGAAGAGTCCTAAACAGGGAGTGAAATTCAAAGCATCCTTTACTGCTCATGAGGACTACAGAGGAATAGGCCCACCAACCCACCACATGATAATCCTTGCAGAGGGGAAGAAAGATTTGGGTCATTACGCAGCTTGGGCTGGTTGAGCAGAAGTGGAGATCCTGCCTCCTGCTGGGAGGCACAACAGAGATGAAGAATCCCCTCACTCCAGCCTGCTGGAAAGTAAGCCCACTTCTGGGGTGATGGCTTTTCACCAAAGAAAATGTGCAGGACACCCCTCACAAAATCCAGCTGAGCACTGGGCACTTTTGAACCGCTTAAGAGAGGTAGCCACCCCACAGCCCCACTTCCCTGGTGACTACAAGGCCTCCCACAGCACTTTGTGCAACAGCGGAAGTACTCTTCTGGTTAGAAAATATTGTTATTTTTCCTGTTGCTTGTCAAGTATGTTACTCATGTTTGCTCTTAGTCAGGAGCCGCCGCCTCAGTTTGTGGGCAGTTTAAAGAAGGTTTAATGAGTCTTGCTTCTATTTAGATATGATTCACTGGAGTTACCTTTGTCTTCCTCCTTTGCACCGCTCATCTCTAAGGCATGATACACACACAAGGCTTCCACCAAAATAAAGTGGTTACTCAAGCTGAGGCCCAGGTAAGCAACACAGATTAAATCCCTTGTCACTGATAAAATTTCCCCCCCTGTAGGTAAAGCCCAGACCTGTGCCATAATGAAGGACGATTTTCCTCAATATACCTAGAATCCGGAGAGGGTCAGAGCTCATTACGACAACAGCATGTGAGAACTCACACCACAGTTGCCTGTACTGCACCTATCCATGAGCAATCAACAGGCTTTTGCTGCCCTAGCTCCCATTTACTAAGAGCCACCACATCTTATACTTACCTTGACGCTTTGCTGAGAACAGGACATAACACCCCAGGTATAAACACACAATACTTACTCCCCAATTTTATGCAGCTCTCCTCCTCGTCCTGTGTAAAGTGTCAGGCATCCTTTCCAGAGAGATGCGTACCTGAGAAATCAGAGAAAGAAGCAGATGCAGTGTCTCTTAGCAAACCACTGTTGAAAAAGGAAGTAGGAGCACGCTATCTTCCAAGAGTTAATAAATGTTACCTATCAACATGAACCGCCTGAAAAAATTCCCAGGCACACCAACTTTACCACAATAAAATTTTATAGATCCCCTTGGTTTAGTTCTAGAAAAAAGGTACTGGAAGCTCAGCTGACTCGTTTGGCAATTCCAGGAAAGCAGCCAATTACTTTGGGACTGGATGCTCTTTCCTTGGCTGGAGCAGCCCTTATGACTATTCTGCAGAGGAGAGGCATCTTGCCAAAAGCAGTATGTGTGTTACCCACTCACTGACAACTCTCAGTTCTGCTTTCAGCAGAGGCCAGGAAGAATTACCTTTCTCCACTGGAAAATATAAACACTGCTATTGAATATGTGTAACAGGAAGTGCTTATGTTTTTTAGTATAGGACCTTACCAGATTTTTTTCTTTTAAGCACAAGTTTGACCATCATGTTCCACACGATGTATAGAAATGCAATGAAATCACTTCTTGATTGCTGAAACATGCACTTACAAGACAGCATGAGTGCACTCTAGTCTTTATAGTGGCACTTGACTTCAAGTACTGGAATTTGAGTTATGCAAAACTTTCCGTATAATTGTTCCTTTTGGTGAGGGGCACCACATACGAAGAAAATGATGAAAATGCAGCCCAGAAACCCAGGTACAGCACAAGGGAGTTAACAGGAATGAGTGTCATCTAGCAAAGGAACAGGGAGCCTCAGCAATTGCACTCTCAGGAGTCACAGATAAACTGGACAAGTCACCACTTCCTCATGCTCTGGATCTATCTCTGGAACACAGATAACAAACCTTCCTCTCGCCCTCTGCCTTATCTGCTGAGACTGGGAGCCTTCCGGCCACACGCAGGGCCTCGAACAGGGGCAGCAGGGAGGAGCCAGGACAGCAGGACAGGACCATAATGCCAGTGCAAGGATAAGCTTCTCCATACTCCAGCACAAGTGGTAGTATCTACAGTTATGGTGCCTGTCTTGGGAGCTTTCCATCCAGAAGTAGGGTTAATGCTCTTGACTTCATAATGCTACCTTTCACTTTCATGAGTCCCTCTAAGCTTAACTTTTAATAACCAGCTAGTGGGACAGTCTTGTGGCAGAGCACAAAAGGAAAAGAGTTACCAAATAATAAATGCAAGTCAAACATACATTTACTGGGACACAACCAAGCACGTCATGGGACTGATAACCTCCAGCACAAAGTTATTCCACGTATGCAAGCATTTGTTCTTGTCTCAGAAAGCACTGGCTATAAAGCACTAACCTCCAGAAAACTTCAAATTTAGAAATATTAACTGCAGCAGCTTTCCATAAACAAGTTAATCAGACAGTGACAAAAATCAGCAAGTGTCTACTTTTGCAGAGGAATGTATCTACAGCATGAAATGCATCAGAAAAAACTACATGTTTACATGTGGGGCCTAGCAAAGCTTTCGTGCTTGTGAGCATCCTGCACTGGAGGTCAGATTAGAAGCTGACATTTACTTGCCTTGCAATGCAGCATCACATACTCAAATTCATCCTATTTAAGTATACAACTGTGTGTGGAAAACCTCGTATGCCAGCATGAGGGCATTTTTCAAGATGAGAGCCAAGCCAGAATGTATTTAGCTTTTGCCACTTCACTCCTTGCACAGTCCTAAGTGTGGATGCAATTGAAGGCATGCCTTAGGCACGCACCAGGATTAGAACTGTCAGTTCATAAATTTAATTCACACAAACCAGGCTCACTTTATGATATGAGGGGATGCAACAACCCTCCCATGTGTTGCACTGAAACACCAGAGCAGCTGCAGTAGGCCGGTCACAGAGCAGAGCACAGTGCTGACCAGTATCGCTATCAAGTTGCTTCAACGTCATCTACGCGCAGGGCTTTGTGATGGCCCAGAGCCTTGGTTCAGTTCCACCCACCTCAGTGCCCCAGCACTCCACGTGCTCTCTCTCCACACAAGCAGGCTTCCCCAAATGAGCAATCAGCCTGTTTCGTGTAAAAGGACATTTGCATAGGAGGAAGCAGCTGTAGTTTTGCTGGCAAAGGGTCATTCAGTGTCACTAGAATTACACTCAGACGAAAAACTTAAGAGCAGCTGAGTTAGCAGCTCCACTGAGTAACCTTTTACATACCTTTTCCTAAAAAACAAATTAAAAAGACCTTACATATGCTGTAGTTCCACCACCTCCAGGAGTGCTGAAGGCCAAAGGAACAGTGGATTTCTAAGTGTAACCAACTCAAATGAAAGTGACTATCACTTTGCTACTGACAATGTAAGTGACATGGAAATGGATTTGCAAACTGAAATTAGTATTTTCTCACAGATAATAAACCTATTTGGGGTTTGGGTTAGTTTGGTTTTTTATTTTAACTTAAAAGAGCTCTCTGAGATAAATGAACTGCACATAAAACTTAACTAACATCCTCTACAGTGCAGCCCTAGTATGAATTTTTATAGTGAATTTGAAAAGCTTCTCCTTCACTGTCTGTCATTTCTGTTAAATCCACTGTAATGAAAAGCAACTTTTCTGCATGAGAGACATTAATCATTCCCTCCTCTCATTAAGGACCTGACTGCTAGAGTAAAGAATTGGCTGTAAAAATAAAAACACGCTTTTGACTTCCCTGCTTGATTTACAGACCAGGACTGACTTGCATTTCCCTCCCTCCCCCCTCCCCAAAAGAAGTATTTTCCTAAGGAGCTTTTTTTATAAGCCAAACCACGTCTTCAAAGCCAAACCCTCTCAGACACCACCTCCTCGCTGACAACGCAAGCCCTCCCTGGCCTGTACGCTCGCTCCAGGCATGTTCTGGGGCGGAGGAGGAGGTTTTAATTCGGCAAGTGATCTCAGAGCGCTGCCCCGGTAACAAGGAGGCA